GCACCTGCTATGTTTCTCTTCTGCTGCTGCTTCACTCCTTTTCTCCCTTGCTCTTCGGAGGCATTCTCCTGCAAAGTGATACCAGTGCTCCCTCTGAGCAACTGGTGATCATGCACTCATTGTGTGGGCAAGGCAGCAGGAGCCAGGCAGGCAGCGGGAGCAGGAAGCTGGTCCGTGAGGAGGCTGCAGAGACATCCACTGCACCTGCTATGTTTCTCTTCTGCTGCTGCTTCACTCCTTTTCTCCCTTGCTCTTCGGAGGCATTCTCCTGCAAAGTGATACCAGTGCTCCCTCTGAGCAACTGGTGATCATGCACTCATTGTGTGGGCAAGGCAGCAGGAGCCAGGCAGGCAGCGGGAGCAGGAAGCTGGTCCGTGAGGAGGCTGCAGAGACATCCACTGCCAGGGCAACCCAGGGACGCCCGGCAGGGACACGTGGTCCTGTTGGAGGAGCTGGCAGGGCGGCAGGCTCGGTGTGGAGAGCCAGGGGAGCTGGGCCTGGGCCAGAGACGACAGTGGGGGCCATTCCCCTGTGCAGACATGCAGGCACAGAAACTGGCGTGCACCTTGTGCACGCCTATGCACACGTGTCTGAAACCACTGCCCAGCCACGCAGAGCTGAGCAATCAGAGGGGCGTCAGTGCATGTCTGGGCTTGGCAGCGGGCTGGCAGGCGTGTGGGGCACAGAAGAGAAGGGGCACACATGCTTATGCCCAGCCTTGGCTGGCATGACCAGCAAGGCACCTAGATACTGCTCTGACCCACAACCACCCATGAGATGCACGCGGGTGGCCAGAGGCACTCAGGCACCCAGAGGCACTGCCGCCAGGCTGGAGGGAAGCGATTTCAAAACAACCAGCATGACGTGGCTTTCTGGCGCAGCAGTGGCGAGTGACCGCTGTGCTGAGCATGGCTCCGGCCCTGGCAGGGACCCGAGGGACAGAAGCAAATGGAAGCCCTCCAGAGGGGTGCTGGACTCCTCTTTCCAACAAGGAGGGAACTGTCCCAAGAGAAAGCAACCTTTGCTTGAAGTCTCACACGTAAATACAGCTGCGACTTGGAGTGAATCATGCCTAGAGAAGCAGATAGTTAGGAATGCAATTGCTCAAGCATGTTCCCTGATCTCTTTGGATTGGGGCCATGGTGATTTTTATATTTGGCTTCACAAAGCTGGTGTAACCCTCCCCAGCCCTCTCCCCAGGTACTTGTGGTATCCTGGAGCTGGCCAGGGCACCCTCCGGTGGTCAATCCGGCTTGACTATTAGCCAGAATCCATTAGCATCTAATGGGAAAAGCCTCAGGAACACAGCCTCAATAAATGTTGACATATTTGAGGTCAATATAATCCTTAGGAAAATTTGCCCAGGTAATTAAAGCCAGACAAGGAGCTGCCTGTCCAAGAAATATTTACCAAGCTTTACCAAAGCCTTAAAGGCGCAGGAGCGGGCTGTC